CACCAGAAACTTCCCAGTTGGAACACATTTTCTGGGACATAAAGAGTTGGGGGTAGAAATGAATTTCTTCAATGCCCAATATTTAAGTGTTTGTTTACAGTGCTCACACCTGTCTCCTTATGTGATTTTAATAGATCCAAATCAGTAACTTCACACGTGAATTACCCTTGAATGACTTCTAGTTCTTTTAGCTGAAAGACTGAAAATTCTGTGTCTAAACATGGATGCGGTGATATCTATTGAATTACGTGTTAACATCCTTTCCTTCACCTTAAAGATTTCAAGAAGTACATCATTTCTTTTCAGTTAAAAAAAATGTTGGGAAAGGAGGATGAGAGCTCTGACTTGCTTTACCCAGTGACACCCACTCACTGTGTGGCTTGCGCCCTCCCAGGGGAGGTGGTCCTCCTGGTGGACATGCCCGCTGACGGCCCCGCGGAGGAAGGGCAGCACCTGCCTGACGGGAGGACGGCCACCCCCGTCAGCAGCTTCACGCAGCAGGACGTCGACGAAGGTGTCGTCTGGTACAGGCACTCGGGAGCTCCCGCCCAGAGCGACTCCTTCCGCTTCCAGGTACCCTCTGCTTCCTGACTTTTCTGACGTCTGACGAAAACCATTACTCCTGTGTGTAAACAACTTGAGTAATTTTCCACAGTTGCCCAGAAATCACATTTGGGAGAATTTCCTAAGAAATGCAATTAATAGCGATGGGAGATTTTTTGGTCTGTCGGTTCAGATGTGTGGTTATCTTCACAAGCAGACTCGTCCACGACAAAGAGGTTTAGATTACGTAATGTCCAAAGTGTTCAGAATTTCTTCAAAATATGAAAATGGTATAGGGAGGGAAAAAAATCATCTTCTCTTTGTGAATTTTCCTGGAACATGTACTATCTTAAAAGATCATGGACTTACAGCCAGACTCAGAGGGTTCAGAAGTCAGTTCTGCCATTTACTTGCTATGCAACTTTGGGCAAATTACTTGGGAAAAACCCTTGTGCTCCATTTTCCTTGTCTGTGAAACAGAATTATTGTAAATATTCAAGTTAACACATATAAAGTATTTATAATACTGCCTATTACATAGTGAGTGCTACATACAGATTTGTTATTACCATTTATAAAAATTGGTCAAATACCACACTGTAAGGAGACCCTCAGTAAATTAAAGAACAACAAATTATACTGGGTACATTCTCTGGCCATTATGAATATAATTAGAAATTGATTATAAAAAGGTCAACAAAGAATTCAAACCATTTGAAATGTTTAAAATGGTCTCCTAAGTAATTACTAGGAAATTCCTTAAAGGAAATCAAAGCAGCAGACTGTTAAGAAATATTGATGGGGAGGACATAACTTATCAAAACATAAATCATGTGGACAAAATGGTATTCAGAAGAAAATTAGTAGCCTTAAGCTCTTATTATTGATCAAGAAAGCATGAAAATAAATGTCCTAAACATTTAACTGGAGAAACTAGAGAACCACAAGGGAAATGTAAGGAAAGCAAAAGGAAGGAATTAATAGAGATAAGCCAAAGAATTGGTTGATTATAAAATGCTAGAAATGACAAATGAGTACAAAACTGGATTCTTTGAAAACAATCAATAAAATTAGACAAACCTCTGGCAAGCACCATTTGGAAATAAAGAATTAAACAGAAACACAAAGAAATAAGGAATTATGAATGAGAAGGAGCGTTTGAGCGTGGACACAGAGAAAAACGTGGTAAAGTGCCAGAGAAAATACGTATGTTGATGGTGATCAGCCAAAGCAGCGTCAGAGCCCCCGAAGTCTGAGACTTTTCCTTTGCCTAGAATCCAGCTGGGGATAAACTAACCGTGATAGCTCACCTTGCTAAAAGTATCGCCCATTCTGCTTCTGATGCCTGGCCTGTACATCTTCATCGCCCGACTGATTTATATTGTGTAAAAGATGTGCTTTTCCAGAGAGCTGGTTGAGATAAATTTGGAAACCATCAAAATGAGATTATCCTTAAGGCATTGAACGTCCAGTGACTGAACAAACATTGGGTGCCCTTTGCCCAGGTTAACTTTTCATTTTTAGCACCTGGGGACTGCAGCGGTCATCAAACAGTGAGTCGGCACGGAGGCAAAGACCTCAGTCAAACAGGGAGCTAGAATCCTCAGATCCTTTGCCCTCCTAAGGGGTCAGGATGAGGAATGCTATCAATAAGGAACATCGCCCTGGAAGGGGATTCTAAGCACCCGCTCAAAATGACACTTGATTGCTCTTGCAAGTTGGTTACTAAGTGGATAAAATAAGCAAAATAAAATATTAAAAAATAAAGTAGCAAAAGTTACTGATTTTTTAAAAAACAAGCTCACTAGAGTTTGAGATACCCAGTTGAACATTATTACTTAGAAAGTGGCTCCCTTTGGAGAGCCTTCCCACACTTTGCTCAAAGTGTGTTTAAAACTATTTGAATTTACCTTCAAAGTGTATGGGCAACTCTTTTAGAATATCCTCAGTGGTGACAGTATATTATCCTTTGAAAGTAGATTTAGAAATGTAGCCAAATAGCCAAAAGTTATTCAGAATCAGGTCTGGTCAGAAAAAGAGTGATAATTATTTTTGGTTAAAATGGGGAATAATGACAAAGGAAGGAAGGAGCTCGGCCTTCTCCTGTGGTTGGTGAACTCCGTCTGAAAGCATCCCCAAAAACGCATTTTGAACACTGACAGCATCTTTATGGCAAATATGAAACAATGCTCTGGGATTATGTTCTCCGGACATAAAAGTTTTGGTGTGTTTGTTAAAGTCTCGTTTTACGAGCTTGCCTCCTATTTTGATTCGAAATGACACAGACGCTATAGCTATGTGCCAAAATAAATGATTAGCAACTTTTCCCATTCATCATTTTAGTGTCCCTAGAGGATTTTGAACCAAAAAAAAGATGCTGTTCTAATGTTTCTTTTCTTTCTTCCCTTCTTTTTTTTCTTTAAAGCAGAAAACGCAATGTAATGAGTTGCATGGATTTAATTCCATTTTAGTGTTGATGTGCCGTCATGAGCCATCAACGCATCCCGTCTGATACTCTGCATGTAAGACTTGGTGTTTATGTAACGCGAGCGGGATTAGAAAGCAGAGCATGGCACAGTGAGAAGGAAGTGTGCACGTTCGTGGTCATTTTTGCATGGGACGGAACCCTGGTTTGGGTACATTCAGATCATATTGACACGGTCTCAGGGGATGTGGTTTGAAAAAGACCCTCATGTTTCACATCAGGGTCTTTGCTAGGGAGCCAGACTGACTCACTCACATGGTAATACGAACACATTTCACTACCTGAGCAGTGTTCTGTTCTTCTTTAACAGATAGGAGAATGTATTTCCCCCTTTTCTAATTTCCTAAAGCGACTGAGTCATGTTGGTTGACCTGATTAAGTGCTGCCACTTGTTGGTTTTGTGACTTGGACACGCTGCTTAAACTTTTTTTTTTTTTTTTTTTTTTTTTGAGACAGAGTCTCACTCTGTTGCCCTGGCTAGAGTGAGTGCCGTGGCGTCAGCCTAGCTCACAGCAACCTCAAACTCCTGGGCTCAAGCGATCCTCCTGACTCAGCCTCCCAAGTAGCTGGGACTACAGGTGTGCACCACCACACCTGGCTAATTTTTGTATTTTCAGTAGAGATGGGGTCTCGCTCTTGCTCAAGCTGGTCCCGAACTCCTAAGCTCAAGCGATCCTCCCACCTTGGCTTCCCAGAGTGGTAGGATTACAGGTGTGAGCCACCACGCCTGGCCTGCTTAAACTTTTTGACCTTTCTTCCTCTGTGAAAAAGAGGATAACATCTACTTTGTGGGTATTAAGTAAGATAACCTTTGAAAAGTAGCTAGTACAGTGCTGAGCCCATGATAGACCCATGATAGACCATCAGTGAATTATAGTTATTATTAAGATTTGCAGCAATGTGATGTTTCCTTGAAAACACGTATTCTGAGACTTGATCCCAGGCATCTGATATGATCAAGATAAGAACAAAGAAGACGGTTTTTCTGTTGTTAGTAACTTAAAAGGCACAGAGAAGGGGCTGCGATCCCTGCCTTTTCTCTCAGAATTTATAGAACCCTGCCCTTGTCGTATGGAATTAATGCAGCTACACATGGCCACACAGGGCTTGCAATTCCTGAAACGAGACTAAGGTGGAGCAAACAATGGAGAGAGGAGAGTTGAAGGGAGCGCTCGGTACCTGCGATGGAGAGAGAGAAGCTGCATAAGAAAAGCATCACTTTCAACATTTTCGAAGCAGGAAAAAGTTGATTTTTGTGACCTCTACCCTAATTATAAATGTTATTCATCTTTCCCTGCAATCATGAGGCTGGGATTTGTTATTTACCTGAGCTGAGTAAAACGAAAGAAATGGAATAAAAATTATACATTATATATCCATAATAAGATATAACCATCAAAAATCATGTTTTCAAGAATGATTAATGACATAACAAAATATCATAGCATTGTTAAGAAAAAAATCAGGATACATGATTGTATATGAAGTTTAATATATCTGCATAGAAAAAAGATTTACCTGAAATCCATCAGTATATTAATAATCACTGTTTCTAGGTAGTGAAATTCTAGATTAATTTTTATTTCTTATTTATACTTTCCTGCATTTTCAGCATTGCCTAAAATGATTATGTCTCTTTTTTATAATCAGAAAACGATTAATATTAAAATATGAAGAGCAGAACGAAAATCGTAATGCAGAAGCTCATAGAATTCAGAGACAGTGGGCTTAGAGGGGCAAAAGATAAAAACACGCCAACATGCTCCGCCCAGCAGAAGATGAGAGACTGACCAGGATGACCTCTCTTTTCAGGTGTCCAGGGCCGCAGACGCCCAGACCCACCTGGAGAGCCGGATGTTCAACATCGCCATCCTACCCCAGACGCCCGAAGCACCTAAGCTCTCTCTGGAAACCTCTCTCCACATGACTGTGAGTTAAGCGGGAGAGATCGTGGTTTCCGCTTGCAGGAGGAACGTGGCTGACATGATGGGTTTTGTAGGCAGCAAATGCCTGGCCCAGACTCTGGAGCCAACAACTCCCAGTCCTGTGAACACGTTTCTCTGTGACTTGAAAAAGAAAATTCCCAGACGGAAAGTGAGGTTATGTGGAATCAATCTTAACTTCCCATCCATGGCTGATGTCCGTTCTATAGCATCTCGTACAGTTCCAGGGCCTCTCTTGGAGTACCTAGAAGAATTTTCAGGCTTATGTCCACATAATCCATACCATTGGGGTGTAATCGTTCAGCCAGGTAGAGGCTGGAGAAACTGTTATTCCAGTTTTTAGACACCCTGTTAGAAGGTTTTTGCTGCCAAAGCTTCCTAGAGAAGGCGCTGTCAGTGCTGAGTCTGGACAGATGAGTAGCAATGACCCAGGCGAAAATTTGGGCGCAGATTGGGAGGAGCGCAGACGTGATAGCAAAGGGCACTGCCATGGGCAGAAAGAGCTTGTGGGAAGACCGAAAGGAGAGAGAGAGTGTGACTATCGGGAAATTGCAAAAAATTCCGTAAGCCTGGAGAAACGAGGAGGGCAGAGGAGGCGCAGTGAGGACGCGGATGCAGGTCATGGAGCTGGATCGCAGGAGGGCTGCACGCTGGCGGGAAGGAGAGCAGGTTGTGGGGAGATCTGAAGGAAGATGTCAGCTACGTCGCTGTGTGAAGCTTAGTTCAGACGATTAGCGAGTCCACTGTAACCCTCTCTCCAGGGGGATCTCACGCAGAACCCCTCTTGCAGACAGAGCCACAAGCACGCAAGACCTTGTGAATTAATCACAACGGGTCCACGCTTTAGTTAGCGCCCACATAATTACACCCCAAAGCCGCATATCAGCCTTGAGCCACAACAAAGATAGCAGCTGTAGTTTCAGAAATTATGGGTCTGGGGCAAGACAGAGACATAAAGGGGAAAATAGAAAGTTTTTAATGAATAGCTGGTATCGGCATTTCTACCGTAAACCGTAATTTAAAGAAATCATAATTCAGCAGCAGTATAAAGTCTATAATTCATCATTCTGACTGCAGGAACTTGGATCAGAATTTTCTTTAAACTGTAAAGGAAAATGTGCACACACATTTCTTGCCAAATGCTAATGCAGGGTTATTTTGAGTCCAGAGGGAAAAAATGGGCCAGGAGCCGTGAAGACGGTGTCGTTCCCGTTCTGTCACTTGGACGTCTCGGGAGACTTTTCAAGTCATGTCAGCTTTAGGGGCTCAGGTCGCATGTTTACAGATTAGGTCTGTCTGGTTGAGACTTAGGATAACTCAAAGGTTAGTTTATCGTAAGATGTGATTAGCCTACTCTTACATTTCTGAAAATATACATGGTTTATATTTCTTTTGACATTAGTTAAAGCCATTACCATGGGGCAGACTTACAATCTGTGACCAAAAAAAACATTCTCAGTTCAGTGATTTAGACTCATCTAAGCACACGGATTTTGCGCATGTTTGGTAAATACTTACGAGTACATACAGTAAATACCCATATGGTGTATTCATTTACGTGATTAAAGGTAGGAGTCTACCTCTCCATTCATTCAGTCACTCGTCATAAACACTCTGGAGCCCCTGATTTATGCCAGGTCTTGTGGAAGACATTGGAGATTCAATGACCATAAAACACAGTCTCTCTCCTCAAGGGACTTTGAGTCTAAAAGAAGAGACAAGCAAATAAATAAGCAAGGATAATACAGTGACAAATGCCACAACAGAGTAATGATACGGAATAAATGGGAGGACGCCTGACCCAGCAGGGCCTGGGAGAAGGTCACGAAAGAGCGAAAATTATCTAGAGACCAGGGTTCTCAAACTTAAGCCTATACCAGAATCTCTTATAGAGCTGGTTAAAACACAGATCGCTAGAACCTACCCCAGAATTTTCTAATTCAGTAGGGCTGGTGTAGGGTGAGAATTTGCATTTCTAACAAGTTCCCAGGAGATGCACTTTGCTGGTTCTCAGATGACCACACTGGAAGAGCCATTGATCTAGACTAAAAATGAGGAAGTCATCCCAGACGAGAGGAGCAGCAGTTGGAAAAATACGGAGACACAGAAGAACAGGACATATTTGAGAAACTGAATGTAGTTCACCTGGCTGGAGCATAAATCCCTAAGTGAAAAATCAACAAGAAACGAGAGTCAGGTCATAGAGGACCTTCAAGATAAGACAGAGTTTCCATTTTGTCCTGAAAGTCTATTGAGGCAAATAGGGTGTCCGGGGATTTGTAGCAAGAAATGCCACGATCGGATTTCTGATGATTAATTTAGGAAGATCACCCTGGCTGTGGGGCAGACAGAAAACAAATAGACCGTTGTAATCATCTACAGCAAGAACCGTTAGTGGCATGAACACCATGCAGTGGCTATGAGCGTTAGTTTGGGAGATCTTGACGAGATATTTGTACACACATGTTCGTTGTAGCACTATTCACAGCAGCCAAGAGGTGTGAGCAATCTAAATGTCCATCAACAGGTAAATGAATAAAGGAAATGCGATGCACACACACACACACACACACACACACACACACACACACACACACACGTGCGATGGAATATTACTCAGCCTTGAAAAAAGAGGAAATCTTGGCACATGCCACAACATGGATGAACCTTGAGGACGTTATGCTGAGTGAAATAAGTCAGTCACAAAAAGATAAATGCTGCATGATTCTACTTGTATGAGATATAAAGTAGAATGTAGTCAAGAAAAGTAGGAAGAAAGATGGCAGTTGCCAGGGCTAGGGGCTGGCGGCAGAGTGAGAAAAGGGGATTTGTTCAGTGGATACGAGTTTCACTTTTGCAGCATGGAAAGGTGCTAGAGATCTGTTGCACAGCAATGTGCTTGTATTGATAGTTAACGCTGCAGTGTCGTGCACTTAAAAATGGTTAAGATGGTAAAAAAAAAAAAAAAAGATGAGAGATTTAGAGACGCAGCGATGCGTTAGATGTGGAGGAGGGTGAAACTCCCAGTTTCGCAGTACGTCGAGGTGCCGTTCGTTGAGGTCAGGAACGCGTGAGGACTTTGGTGGGAAGCTCGATGGGTTCAGTTTGGGGTGTGCTCACAACGGGGTGCTGGAGCAGAGTGAGCGAATCCACCGAGATGAGTGTGTGTGTGCGGCGGGGAGCGGATCTTGCAGGGCCTCACAGGTGGGCGTAGGGACTTGGCTTTTATTCTGTGTAAAATGGAAGCCACTGCAGGGTGTCGAGGCGGCTCTAATGTCCTTTCGAGAGGGATCGCACTGGCTGCCGTGCTGAAATAGAGTTTGGGGGGCGAGAGAGCAGCTGGGAGGTCACGGGTGATCCGGGGAAGGCGGGCTCTGAGCAGAGTGGCCGCGGCAGGACTCAGGAATGTGGGTATAATAAGAACCATTATTCTGTAATCTTCTTTTGTTAGCAGATATATTAGTTTAAAAGTGTCTTTTGTAATGATTTTTATGAAGTTTAGTCTCTTATTACTCACTATGTTGAATTGATAAATATCAAACACTCCAAATAGCCAATATTAAAATTGATTATGCTTTGATATATCTCAACCTCAGTATTGCTTGCTTCACGAATTCGGTTCTTTTTCTACCTAGTGTCTATTTCTATTAGGAGAGAAATAGCATCAATAAATTCTAAAATAGACTCTCTGTTATCTTAGCTGGAACCTATTTCCTTTTCCATAGTCCCACGTCCACAGTAATCCCCTCTTATCGCTTTACTGTCCGACGGATATCTAGATTTTCAAAAATGTCCCATGATACTCTAAGAATTTGTAGTTATTATGATGGCTTTGGGGTTAAAAGGTGACTAACTGAAAAAGCGCAGTGAGCCTGTACCTTTTTTGTCTATCTGGACACGTCTATAGGTGTGTACACGTATGTATGGGCTGTTAGCACCTTATAAAGGGCATATGTGTTTAGTTTGTCATCCTTACTTGTTTTATTTCCGAAAGGCCAGCTGCTTGCTATTCGCAATTCTAATTTTCCTTGCTCATTACATTCCAGACCTAAGCAGGGGCCTGAAATATGACTCTTTACCACAGGAAGATTGTCCTAACCTGCAAATTCTGCCTCTCCCCAGGACAAGCGCGCCTTGGGGACAGTTACAGAGCAACTGCAACCTTCAGTCTTTTCTCGGTTAAAAGGGAGAACGCCACGCCCTCCATGAGCAAGGCTGAGCCCTGCTTAATCCTTTCCCAAATGGGGACATTCCTTCTGAAAGAAGCAAAGCGCCGGGAGAGCATGTCAAACTCTAGCCCACCTTCCGGGGTCAGTTAGGAAGAGCCTGCCGTGAGCTGGCTGTTTTGTTCTGTTTTGTAGCAGCTTGCAGGACCCAGGCACGGGGCCCAGGCTCCAGCTGGTTCTCCCTTTTCTTCTCTCCATGCTGTGTTTTGCTGCTGTCCCCAACCCACTATCGTGCCCAGTCGCAGACGGAATCTGAATCTCTCTGTTTTTGTTTGTTGAGCGTTGCCACCGTTAGTGGGTTCTGGACATGTACAGGTGCGTGGCTAGAAAAAAGTTCATACACATCAGCCCTCCTATTAATGTTACTTGACTCACTCATTGGGTCCTGAAAGCTAGAAGAGAAAAGCAACATCTAGTTCTTTTGGATAGTAAGATGGAGAAGACAAAGGCAAGTATTGGCTCTTTCACGTGCCTTAATAAACAAATAGCTCTGAAACCTCTGAATCCAAATGACGAGCCTTTTTTTGGTGGGTTCATCTTTGGCCCGGAAACCAGAAAGCATCCCCCTTCACAAAGGGGTCTGGGGACCGTGCTCTGAAGACCCTCGTAGGGCCGAGGCTTGAACTTCTCGGTTGGGTCCTTAGAATTCTTGCCAGATTCAACTTAGCCCACCAAGTCAGAGAAGCAGAGATGCACAAGCCGCTGTGAGCAGCAGGATAGCAGAAGAGCCGGCTGAGATGCCTCATTTCAAACGTGTTCCGGCTACGCATGCCGGGGCTGGGGCCGGGGCCGGGAAGGGCAAAGCCAGAGTACAAGGAGCCCTGAGAAGGGTCTCTAACCCTGTGAGCGTCTCGAGGCTGGGACAGACCTGCAACGCAAGAGACCGAATCCTTCTTTGAGCTCGTGGAGAAAATTTTGCTAAGTGTGACTAATTTGAAAGTCCAGAGTGAATTTCTTTTATTTTTTATACTCTCATAGGGTTTTTTCTGCCTCTGGCTTTCGTTCTGATCGCACCATTTTTTTCTTCTTCCTTCTTAAACTCTGTGCAGGCACGAGAAGACAGCCTGACTGCCATTCAGCCTCGTTCCCTCTCCTTTGTGAACTCCGAGAGGCCGAGTGGGAAGATTGTGTACAATATCACGCTACCTCTGCACCCAAATCAAGGTAAGGTGTGCAGTGAACGATGTTTTGAGTGATGCTCTTGTCTTCCAGTTGTTGACCAGTCTTAAAAACTCTGAAATTTGGCCGGGTGCGGTGGCCCACACCTGTAATCCTAGCTCTGTGGGAGGCCGAGGCGGGTGGATTGTTTGAGCTCAGGAGTTCGAAACCAGCCTGAGCAAGAGCGAGACCCCGTCTCTACTAAAAAAATAGAAAGAAATGATCTGGACAACTAAAAATATGTATATATAGAAAAAATTAGCCAGGCATGGTGGCGTATGCCTGTAGTCCCAGCTACTCGGGAGGCTGAGGCAGGAGGATTGCTTGAGCCCAGGAGTTTGAGGTTGCTGTGAGCTAGGCTGACGCCACGGCACTCACAACAAAGCAAGACTCTGTCTCAAAAAAAAAAAAAAACTCCGAAATTTATCTGCTTATATACATGGTGATATTCGTTGAGGTTTTAAGTGATAATTGCAAATCCAGTTCTTAGATAATCAAGATCCACGTTACTGTTGCCGAAGATCATTGCAGAGACCGAGGAGTTTCTGAAGGAAAGAAGGTAGATTGAGAAAAATATCTTTACAGCCTCACCATGAAACCATTCTGTGCCAATTTCTCGAGAACTTTGACCTTGGAATTGAAACTCCGTTGAGAGAATCCCATAATTATGACACCATGTCTGTGACTTCTGGAAAATTACCTGGTCTGGGCCACATCAGGGGCAGTGGGTTGTATCGTACTGTGATTTATTGTCCGCGCCTCCCAGCCAAAACTCTCTTTGGGCTTCGGATGTGCCCTTTTCTTGAATAACCAGAGAATAGTGTCCCGAGAGCAGCCTGAGAGCCGTCATTCCTGAGGACGAAAGACCCCACCAGTGAGAAGGGCCGGCTCTCACCAGCCGTGGGAATTCCTGTTATTGACGCTGAGTCTCTTCCTCCCAGGGACCATCGAGCACAGGGACCAGCCTCACTCTCCCATCCGGTATTTCACGCAGGAGGATGTGAACCAGGGCAAAATCATGTACCGCCCTCCGCCTGCTGCCCCCCACCTCCAGGAGCTCACGGCCTTCTCCTTCGCAGGTAACGTTTTCTCTTCTCTGCCTCGAGGCACCCAGCTGCTCTCTGTGCTGCTTTGTGGCAGCCTCACCCTCACTCTTCCTGCAGTCCTGGGCGGTTTGGTGACACCGCTTCATAGCTACTAAAATAGCTGAGACCTGTCGGCCAGTGTGGAGCTTGGGCTCAGTTCCATCTCTGTGTTTTTATTTAATCCGCATGCAGCATGTGTTCCATAAACTTCTATTTGGTCCCTCCTACGTGCCAGTCACTGAGGGAGGCCTTAGAGATATCGTGGTGAGCAAAGAGAGGCATAGATCCTGCCCGTGGTGAGTTTTGGGATCTAGGTATAGAGACAGAATTTGATAAATAATCCCAGTAATGCATGTGTAATTGCAGACTGAGACAAGAGCTCTGAAAAGGAGCAAGGACGTTCAGTGGCAGAATTGAACGTAACAGATGACCCAGCCTGGGGGCTTAGTGCAGGCTGCGCAGAGAGGCTGGCAGCGGAGGGGAGGGCAGAAACTGACGAGGCTAAGGACGTATCAGGGTGGTGGGGAGAGAGTCCCGTGGAGTCCACATTCAGGACTGCGGAGGATTAAGCAGGTTGGGCACCAGCCTGGTGGCAGAGACGGGCCAGGCCTTACCGGCCCTGGAAGCCTGTGAGTGTTTGGGTCTTTATGCTGGGAATGAGAGGAACCCAGTAGATGGCTTTCGTAAGGAGCTCTTTGACTGCAGTCATGGGAACAGACCTGGGGAGGCGGCCAGAGTGGATAGGCCCTGGGGTGAAGGGAAGCTAGCGAGGAGGGTCTTGCAGTACATTCCGGAAGGCATCATGTAGGGATGGAGAATGCAGACACTCTCCCGGGATTAAAACCAGGACTAGGCCAGGTGCAATGGCTCACACCTGTAATCCCATCACTTTAGGAGGCCTGGAGTTTAAGACCAGCCTGGGCAACATAGCAAGACCCCCATCTCTACAAAAAATTTAAAAAATTAGCCAGACGTGGTGGTACATGCCTATAGTCCCAGAGGCTGAGGCAGGAGGATCCCTCAAGGCCTGGAATTTGAGGTTGCTGTGAGGTACGATCATGCCACTGCGCTGCAGCCTGGGCAAGAGAGCAAGACCCTCATCTCTAAGGGGAAAAAAATAAATAAAACCAGGATTTGATAGAAGAGACCTTTTTAAAGGAAGAGAAGACTGAATGGAAGAATAACTGAGTTTCTCATTAAAGCCAGTCTGTGCCCTTCCACTAAGCCATTATAGCCTGAACCTTGCTACCCTTATATCCTCTCTTAATCCAGTAATCTAAGCTGCTGACCAGAAAGCAGGGATTCTGAGTCCCTACCCCTAAATATTTTCATGCCTTGGAATATTCTAAAAATCTTGGAGTCTATTTCTTTATGATCTTTAAGGTGTATGTACCACATCACACCACGAACATGGGGCATTATTTTTACATAGTTACAGAACAGCTGATGACTTTTTACAGGAGGTTGAACACGGATTAAATAATTTGAGAGTTACTTTTTTGATTGTGGCAAACATTTAAAGTGATATTTGCCATTATTTATTAAAAGATTAATCGTCCAAAAAGTGGTTAAGTCTTCAATTAGATTGAAAATCTCTAAAGGTGGGGATAAGCCTCTTCTCTAAGGAGTGTCCCCGGTGTTTAGTAACCGGGTAGCTAGTAGCCCATGAAAACATTCACGGTTCTCTAACCCTGCATCCCAAGACCTACTTTGCAAGAAACCCAGGATGTCCTGGGATCAGAGGGAAAGAAACACATCAGCCATGGCGAAGTGAGTTCCTGCACCCACTACACTCTCCCGAGCTCGTGGAGCCTCTGTAGAGACGGCGGAGCCCTGTGCTGTGTGATCTGTGGGATAAATGTCACACAGCAAATCTCTCACGTGGTTACAGTGTGTAAATCAGTGTCCCCCCGTCACTCAGTTCCACAATGGCATCGACCCACCTGAACGCCCTGTCAGTGATATACGACGTCACCCGCAGTCACTGATTTGTAGGATTTTATGTACTGATAAAATGGGATCTGGATGAATGTATTATAAATCACTCTAACTGCTGTGACATAAAATTATTCCACTGTGCGGTTCTTTTTGCTACTTAATGCTGCTACCATTAAATTCAATATAACATTAGCAGATGACTTGGTGATCTTTCCCCAAACCAGAATAATTTAGATTAAAACATCCTGTGCTTTGCTAACCTTTGCCTTGTAGTTCACACCTGCCCCATCTATCTCTGACAGCAGAATATTTACTGTGCTGATTTTTCTCCCTCTCTCTCTTCCAGGGCTCCCAGAGTCAGTGAAATTCCACTTCACAGGTAAAGACTAATCTCCATTTTATTAGAAAATGGAATTTTTCTTTTCCTTGTTAGTTCTTTCTTTTTCCTCCCTTTATTGTTACTTTCAGCTATTTCCTAAGAACTACCTAAAAGTCATGTAATTTTTCTTCTAAAACAAGTTTCTTCTAAAATAAGCACTTGGTGAGTTAAGTAGTAATAGCTTAACTTTGTATTCACAGAAAAAAATAACCTGCCAAGGAGGTTAAGGATTAATTTTGAAGCCCCGTTTCACCTCGTCCTAATATCTATTAAAGAGGTAATCGTGGTTAAGATCTTAGACTCTGGATCCAGATGGCCGGGGGTTCAGCTTATTCTGGGAAAGTTTCTTAACCTCTCTATGCCTGAAGGCCTCATCCATAAATGGGGATGATGATAATAATATATGTGAAGCTTCCAGAACAATGATCATGAACAGTGGTTGTGTATAGCCATAAATAGGCATCCATTGAACGCCTTCCTACTGGAGGGAGAAGTCCTGTGACCTAGAGATGAGTTGAGAACTTGTGCACAGAAGGCCTCAGCATCCCAGTTCCACTTGATAGTATAACAGAGGCCGAGTACCAGTCAGCAAAAGCAGTATCAGACCCGGCTTCCATGCTGGGCCACCGTAGCAGTAAGTTTCTCTCTTATCTGGGTCTGGAGTGAGGAGGATTGGCTGTAAATAGCATCCCTAAGTAGCTGTTTAGATGGGACTGACTCTTCCATTACAACCAACAATCCACGTGTTCTCAAGAGGGAAAAATCTTGGCGGGAGAGAGTCACCCCTCTCAAGGTTAAACAATCACACCTTTGAGGATTAAACAATCACACCTGGAGCAACAGTAAATCTCAGTGCTGTGTCACTGCCGATAGAACCTGGTGTCTGTTCCTTTCTAGTGACGGGCCTCTAGGTCATTCATATAATCAGTAATCATATATGACAGATTTTTGCATTTTTATAAAACAATTTGCAATAAAAGTTTTCTTATTTCATTCTTAAAACAGTACTATACGGACAGGTATTATTGTCAGCATTTTAAAGCTGAGGATACTGAAAGTCATTGAGGGTAAATAATCTGCTCAGGTTTCTGCTGCTGGTGAACAGTAGAACCAGGACTTTCAATACCAGTTTCTGGCTCTGAGGGTGGGATAGCTGATCTAGTCTGATGCGCATGAGTGTCGGTCATGGGAAACAGGTGTCATGGCAACGTGCCGGTTTGGTTTCCAAGCCCCAGCTTTTACCTGGAAGCTTGAGTAGTGAAGGGTTAACAACTAGCTTCTGTAGGACTCTAAGTTAAATGAGCCTTGACCCTATCATACAGAGCAGAGGGAAGAGACCTCCAGCTGACCTTAAATTATCTTGTTTCTGTCCCAAGTTTCCATTTTTTTTTTAAAGGAGAAAACCTTTTTGAATCTAGCAGGAAGGAAGCCATCTCATATAGGAGAGTTTTGTGAAAGAGAATTTTAAATTGGACAGATAATGAATTAAGGCGGGAAAAAGCCCAAATGCCCTGACACTGATCCACAGAATGAGGGAGGACAGCCCGTTTTGGTGAATCAGCTAAGCTGAGAAGAAAAGCTGATGCTCCGGACCTGACTGGCTCTGGGACAAGCGCAGCTCTGCAGAGCGGTTCCGGGCGAGGAACACACACGAGGCAAATGGTGCCCGCAGGACGCATTTAGCCCAAAGAGGCAGTTTGACTGTTTCTCGGAGAAATCTGAGATGTTGCTTAAAAAGAGGGCTAGCCGTGCAGTTGCTAACATTTTGACTGCAAGTTCTTATGTTTGTTGCAAAACCCTGCACCCAGGTGGTATGTTTTCTAGTTATGTAACGTGTACCAGAAAACGGCTTTCTTCCACTTACACAGAGGCAAGGATGTGTCTGGTCACACGGAACAGCACGCGGTATGAGCAAAGCTCTTGAAGCTTCAGGGCCTTTCCTCGCTTCCTCTGTGAAATAAGCATGTTGAAGGCTCCCTGAACTTCCTCCCTGCTATGTTTGAATGTCCCTTCCAAAGCTCACGTTTAAACTTAATCCATAAGGCGACAGTATTGAGAGGCGGACCTTTAAGAGGTGATCAGAACATTGAGGGTTCTGTCCTCATGCATGCGTTAATCTGCTCATGGATTAGTGGATTCGTGGGTTACCCTGGGAGGGGAACTGGCGGTCCTATAGGAAGAGGAAGAGAGACCTGAGACAGCACGTTGGCACGCCCAGCACCCTTGCCGTGGATGCCCTGTGCTGCCTCGGGACTCTTCAGAGAGTCCCCACCAGCAAGAGAGCCCTCACCAGATGCGCCCCCTTGATCTTGGACTTCTCAGCCTCCATACCTGTAAGGAATAAATTCCTTTTCTTATGAATTACCCAGTTTCAGATATTTTGTTACAAGCAACAGAAAGGGAACTAGGACATTTCCACTTAAAAATAAAACCAATGTGGAACACAAAAAATAAAATAAAATTGTATTTCGTAATCATTTATTTCTTAACTTAGATTCCAGGAACCTCAGAGAATCCTGAATCCAGTGAAATTGATGGAAAAGTTTGTATGTTTATTGCCAAATTCCCAGAAGTTAAGAATCATCCGTCCCTATCTTTGATGATACAGAAAAAAAGGAGACTGAACATAAAGAAGTAGTGGCAATAATTTTGACACTTGACTGAATGACTATAGCCATAAAACCTTCATTCTCACGTGGATAACGTCTTCTCACCTTTAGGAGGGCTGTTTCAGGACCTCTCTAGGGCATGGAGGGTCCCTTATAAAATCTAGACGTATCTTTTAGATCTGTGTGAAGAAGACAAATCTAAAACCTGAACGGAATCACTGCTAGGAGTCACAAAGCAGTGCTTTATTTTAAGAAGAGGTCAGATTCCTGCTGACTTGTTACTAAGCCCAGGAGAAAGTGAGGAAGGAAACTGGTTTCTCATAACCAACCCGTATGCAAGCTTGTCACAGATGGAAAATACTTAACCGCACAGTTTTCTCAGTAGCCACTGCAGGTAAACACGGTGATGAGTCCGTGGTGCGGGTATCGCTCCAAACCTGGCTTCCCGAGAAAGGAGGGAAGAGAAGAGGGATGTGTACGCGAATGTGGAATTCAGGGCAGGGGTCAGGCAATTCTGCTCTCGTTCCCTGAGGAGATCAGTGTTCACTGGATGTCAGATAACGCAGGGAAGTAAAATCTTAAGGTCACTGTTTTGCTCACAAAGGTGTCTTCCATTTATGGCATTTCACGTAACGACCAGGTAAAAATGGACCTGCTTCCAAACGAATGCCATTAGAGACATTTGTATGGATATTGTCTATCCTTTCAAGAACTTTTCTAATGAGACATGGACGTATCATTTCCAAAAGAGAGTTCATGAAAGAAAATATTTCTCTGGAACATTAGGGGGATGAATTCAATAAAAAAAATCTTCCCATAAATAAAAGCCTTTACTGGCCTCATCTGAGAGTTCATATTTTGCATCACCTTCCTTTCCACTAACATTTATCATGCTCACCTTATTGTGAAGGTAGCCTCTTAGAATGATTTTATTATTATGGTCCTTTCTCCTTTTTCTTATCTGTAGAAAGAACTTTGTTAGAATAGCTCACAGTATCACACTCGCTGACTTTTTCCAATGGGTAAACATCTCTTCAAAGTGTTAAGGTAATCGAAAAAAGTGTCTAGTTACCTATTTGCAGAAACAACATGAAGATGAACAGATTGATTTACACACGTGTGTGTGTGTGTGTGTGTGTGTGTGTGTGTTGACCTTTCTAGTTTCGGACGGACAGCACACAAGTCCAGAGACGGCCCTCACCATTCATTTGCTTCCCACTGACCGGCACCTGCCGACCTTCCACGTCACAGCTCCGCTGCTCGAGGTCAGCCCAGGAGGCAGCACTTCTGTAGGTAAGAACTGGGGCCTGAAGCAAACACGCTTTGGAGATGGGACCTTATTTCAGCAACAGTCCCTCCTCCAACCCCTTGACGGCTGCCAGAAGGCAGTGACCTCCTCATCTAGACGTTGTGTCTCACCCACCTCCTTCCTCGTAAAGCCCGTGTCCATGCAAATAGCAGCACAGAGAGAAGGAAATGAAGCCTTTAGAGGCCAAAGCTCAGTGCTGGAATACAACACAGAATTTATTTTCCAGCCTCCAGGACTTAGATTTGTTGCCGTCACTGAAATATAAAGTAGCAGAGAGCAGAGAGGAGGCTATGGAGGGAGGCGGGCTTCAGTGGCTGCTCTTGTCTCGAAAGTGAGGTGTAGCAGGAGAAATGACAGATCACAGCGACCTTCAGAAGTTGTGCAGAGCTGGAGTTGACGGGGTTATTTTTCACATGCTTTTGTTTACTTATCAGCATACTTACTCTTTAGAAGTTTATTCTTTTACCAAGAACGTTTTATCAGTAAGCAGTAAGTGTTGTGATTTTTGTTGGGTGCGCACAGATCCTTATTCAGTTTCTACATGTGGGTTTTGGCCTAAAATTAATTACCGTCAAAACAAGCCATGTGTACAAAGCCGACCGTCACTTCTACCCGGCGCCTTCTCACTCTCAGGATGGCCGTTGCAGCCACCGTTAAACTTGGCTCATCTGTAGATTCAGAAAAATAAGAAGGGAAGAAACAATGAAAAGGAAAAACAGTTTATGGGAGTATTTTCTGGAAGAAAATCTACCCCAGCTGGTCTGGACTGACCTACTGTGAGCTTCCTCTGTGCGTGCCCTCATCTGTATGGAAAAAAATAGGTGTTCTGAGTTCAGAACTCCCACCTTGTAAGTGAACTTTTGGAAGAATCTACTTGGAATTTGGAAATTGCCTATACTATCAGTTTTCACTCTTTGGTGCTTGATTGGAATTAATCGGCACTTTCTGATTACCCACGACAGGGCTTCCAGCCTGGCCTGTGGCTTTCGTGCGTACTGAGTATTACGCAGTTTTTAACGTAGCCATTCCCTCTCACCGCTGTGTTCCCCTTGCCGCAGGACTTCAGCTGGTGGGAAGAGATGCCGAGATAGCGCTTGAAGAGCTCTCCTTTGAGCTTCGGAAACCTCCCCGGCATGGTGTGCTCCTCAGGTCCACGGCTGAGTTCCACAGGCCCATGGCTGCAGGTAGCTGCACTCTGTGCCTGACCTGCTGGGGGGTTTTTTTGTTCTACAGTTTTATGTGTCTCAGACGAGGAAAAAAATGTCTTTGTGGGAGAAGCTTTGAAGAGATATTTCCGTTGGTGTGTAGTTCATTGGCCTTTGAGACTTCATCAGACCAGTCCCACCCTCTACCCTTTACCTGCCCCTGTCCCCACCTCAGAAACTATAAACACCTCAGATTATAGGTGAAATGGGTTGATTTCTGAAACTTAGAGTAAATGCATTTAAAACAACACCAGCAGGAGTATCAGTGGCCACCTTCCTATAGTTTGTTCACAGAGGCGAATTTGTCTGTCTTAATTTGGTATGTGAATCATCACACTGTTTTTCGCAATGACTCTGTCCGTGTTAACTACGTGTATCTTTATCCCTTACAAAAAAGAGAACACATTTTTCAAGTATTATGTATGCAGCGTAACAGTGTGGTAATGTGACCAGTTTTCCAAAATAATATTTACTGTGCCGTCTCTGATTATAAAAAGTAATACGTGTCAAAGATACAGAAAAACAGAAAGAGCACGACTACATCTAATGTTTCGATAGTCAGCCCTTGTATACCAAAGGACTAATATCCTTTTCCAGGTAGTCACCTCAGGATGCTGTATCTTATTCCAACACTCTGTGCTTTCCCAACACCTTT